ATACACATCAGTCTCCTCAGTTTTTGACCCTGATTCCGAATATGATATTTTTATTGCATAAAAGTTGAGTTCTGATGAAGAAAATTGAGAATTACGACCTTTTCGCCTCTGAAGCACAATGAAGACCCTATAACTTTTGAAAGAAAACTTTTCTCAAAAATCGGCACGTATAACTTTGTTCAGTTTTTCACGGCGCGTCGAATGACGTCTTATTTCAAATTCTTAGACTTTCCCTTCGAGACTTGATTGGTTTGGGAGCAAAAGTTCCTGGTTTGGATTTTCGACTGTACCAAGAATTCAGTTTAAGGTTCGAAATACTCAAAAGCACATGCGTAGATGCAGTTTTTGACGCTGAATCCGAATACGAAAGTCGCAGACCTATGCGACCTAACGGTGCAAAGTTATTGAGTTTTTAGTGCAAAACTACCCGTTTTGGAAAACACGACACTACTAAAGTTTTTCGAGTTTTTGACGGGGAAAACTTTGTCTAAAAAACCTCGCGACCACATATTCGTGATCAGCGTTGAAAACTGCATCGAATGAGGTATAAATGAGCCAAATATAAAATCTGCTCCAATTCTGCCTTAGCGGCATCTTAGAAAAAGATGGCGGATAGAAATTTATGAGTTGTCACCCGGCAACTTTTCTGATCTACTGCACCCTACTATTTTTGTATGAGGTGGTACCTTTTAAAGGAGACATATACATAATTTTAGCACAGTGTTCAAGAAAACTTTTATTTGGCGAAAAAACACAGAATTTTTACTTATTTTGGGCTAATACAAAATTTCGTAGATATTTGGTTGAATAATTTTGCAAAATTTTGTTTTTTGCAAAAATCCAAAAAAAAATGTCATCGTTTTTGCAAAAACAAAATTTTGCAAAAAATGACAAAAACATTGTCAACAAAATTCTGTGTTAGTTAACCTTTTTGTAAAAGTTTGTACGCAAGTCGCTCTTTTCTGCGTTATTTTAATGTTTAACGCAGAAATGCGCTGAAAAATTTCTTCATGGGTGGGTTTGTTGAAGTCAGATTTCTAAACATCTACTCAGACAATGTTTCAGGTAAAAGGTCCTACACCAAAACATCTAACTTCCAATCAGATATCGTCTATTGTACGATATGTTGTAACCGTGATAAAAAAATTATGTCGGAAAAACCGAACGCCATACTGCCAGAAGATTATGTGAACACGAAGCTTCTAAAGAAATGTTCGAAAAAGTTTGATGAATATATTTTAGTAGGCGAGATATTAGAAGACCCAAAGTCGCAACCTAGAGTCCGCACTACTCATTGTAAGCGGCACACAAAATGTCATTAAACAAAACCATCGATCCAACGATATAGACTATTAGCGAAGATATCTGAATCCCAGCCAATAATTAACAGTTATCTAAAGAATAAACGATACATAAAACATCTTTAGATACAACCATTGACACATGAGATTCAACGGTCACCTAGGCTACTAGCTAAAGCATCAGAGTTAACTCAGTCCCAGTTTTCTATACATATTGATATTAATGTAAAGAGTAATGCAGAGCATCGCAAAGGGAAAAAAGAATCGCTGCGAAAAGCTGAGTTTTAATGGAGATATTAGGAAAATAAAGCTGAAAATCTCACGGGACATTTAGTGCATGAAGCTTGTTTTCAGAAGAAGTAATGATTCTCATTCTGAGGGCTATCTTTTGGCTACTTTTAATAAAGATCACGTTTAGTTTTTGCTGAGATATGCGAGGCTCAATCTCACGCTACAGAAAAAGACCAAAGTGTCTGTAATATAACATTATTTTGATTTTTTTGCATAAAAAATTGAATTAAACCGTTAATGCATTTATATATTTCGAGCGAGTTAGTCTTCAGCTTCAAATTATTCCTAAGAAAAAGAATTAGAACTCATTCCGACTTTAGAAAAAAATTCATTCTAGTTCTTTCTGGTTCATTGATCTTCAATATGATCTGAAAGCAAAACAGAAGACCTGTTATGTAAAAACAAAATCGCAAAATGCCCCCTATACGGCAATTTTCAAACAAATTTCGCTAAAATGTTCTTCTAATAGGGGATGAACTTCAGGTATATGGGGGGTTACCGCTGAACTACTAGCAGACGATAAGATTTGATCGCAATAAAAGACCACCCTTTAGAATTCGACTTGCCTGGCAAAATGGAAGACCAGGTGGTCTTCTATTATTTATGTCCCATTCTGACAGGAAAACTTTGCTCTACAAATCTACATGTTCAGGAAGAACTACATCCAGGGAAAACTAGAATTCGAAGATCTTATTCGGCGAGGCCCCCACCGAGTGGTCCATAATAAACTGCACTAAATGTTAATGCATTTTTCTATGACTTCTTATTTATAGAAGAATTTTTTGTATATGCAAAACAATACAGAATTTAATTCTCTACAAGATTATATATTCATTTTTAAGGTTCATCTTTAATGTTTGATGCAGTAACTCTAACAAAAAAGCCCCACGTTTCTTAACTGCACCCTCAAAAAATTGACTTTTTGAGCAGGGCCTCAAAATTACTTATGCAACAAAACAAAGTATACCGAAAAATTCAGCAGGAAATTCTCTACAAATGATGGTTTTTCTTTTAATGAGAAATAATGATTTTTAGGTGAAGTTTGAGAAAGGTCATTTTGTCCTTTTTGGACGCATCTTAGCGACATCTAGTATTCCCTAGTTTTTCAGGTAAAAAGGTACCCATTTTATTTAGTGAGTTACATAGTCTAATAGAGCGCAAAATTCTGCATTGCTAGTCTGTAAATTAATCATTTTAACTTTGAATTTTGTACTGAAATAGTCAAAAAGGTTTTTCAGCACTGGAAACTTTGGTAGAATATGAAATTCTGCATCGTTTGAGATTAATAAAATTATTTTAAAACTTTTTTGTAGTGTTTATAAAAAATAAAAAAGATAGAGCAGTTTGCACTCTAGATCGTCTGGTACAGTTAGAAAATTTGGAGCTTTCTTTGTTAGAGTTACTGTACCAAATATAGATGAATCTTAAAAATGAATATACACTCTTGTAGAGAATTAAGTTCTCTATCGTTTACCATATACAGATTCTTCTATAAATAGAAAGTCATAAAAAAAATGCATTTAGTGCAATTTATTATGGGTCACCGGTTAGAAAGGGTACTCGAAAACCATAAAAAATTACTTCTTGGGTAGAAACTGTTACAGATTCTATTCGATCATGTGCTTATCTCAAAACTGATCTTATTGACAAAAGTTGTCATTTCTATAAGGATGTGATCTTTAAGAGACATTGTTTTATTCGAATACGAAGGTCTCGATCTAGAGAGTTCAAACAACAAAATCAAATCAAGGAAACTAGAGTGAATGTGACAAAGTCTAGAAAAAGCAGTCGATATTAAGTTTTGTAGAGCTGAAACTCGTTTCGTAATTTATTATTTTACAGAGAAAAACTGATTAAAAACTTGTGCTTCAATATTAAAGAAACGCAGTGTTGATGTAGTGCTGTACTATGAACGTCATATTCTAATCTACGTCTTCCATTGTTGATGCGTTATTGCTAGCAGACATAGCAAGTTTGTGGAAAAAATCTGTTGTGTTTTTAGCTACTGAGTCATGTCCATGAAGTTCGTCTCGATTTGGGCAGTCACGCCATTGAACAAATACTTCTTGTCTAATACATCTCTTGTCTAATACATCCATAATCATAAAATGTTTGAAACAGTAAATTAACCGTGTTAAGCCTGTCTAAACATCCAGTAAAAGCTGTTCTCGAACCCGTTAACTTGACTGATGTCGTACAAAACAGCTGAATTCCATACAATGCTTGAAATTCGTTTTCAATATTGGCAGATAAAACTTTCCTCAATAATGGCATTTGATGTTCAGCTATGGAAGTTTGTGTTGTTGTTGACGCTGCTGAATACCATGCATCAAGATATGACAAAATAATAACTTTTATGCGCATGAGTGGAACATTCAGAGTTGTTTTCTATTACAGAAAATAAAAACAAATTGTTCAGTTAAGATAATAGATTTTCAAGCGTTAATTTGGTATGTTTATAAAAAACAAGTAGAAAAACCCAAAAGTACAGAAATCTTTTAGATCAGGTCTATTACACTATATCACTTTACCTCGATATACTGGAGAATTGTGTTATGCGATGTGTAGCTATCTCCAAACAAACGGACCAGCTTTTCAAAAGAATGTAGTTGATTAGGTTTTTTTGTTTTAGTCCTTTCGACATGAAAATACTCGGTAGGGTTTGGTTTCTCTAAAAGAAAGGACAAAATCAACCAAAAAATAGATTGTATATAGTAACTTACGCTCGTTGAGCAAGGGTTTTTGTACTGCACAATTGGATGACGTTAGTATCTCCGAAGATGTATTGATTGTCTTTGATACAGTATCATCTGCACTTTGTTTAGACTGAATAACTGGAGGAGATTTATCAGATTTTGCGGTAGTTTTCGATGCAATGTTTTTTGATGGGTTTGGTAAAAATGGTTCAGTTGGAAAAACTAATTCTAAAATACGGCAGATGCTTAGTTTTGATCCTTGCATTTTATACAAGAATACGTACAAAGAATAACATTACATACTTTCACTTGGTGATGTAGTAGGGTCCAAAACACGAAATGGTAGAAACGGTTATTTGGTTGAAAATTTGTTGAAGCACATTGAAACACCCAATAATGATATTGAAGATGTTTTAAAAATTGTTGCTCGTGAAGTTAAATTGCAAACTGGTGGTCTTCAGTTGCCCTTTCGAACGAGTTCCTTCACAGAGAAAGTTTGCTTTGTCACAACAAACGTTCAAAGTGAGTATATGTTCTTTAAAATTTTATCTCTTATTAGAATGAATCAAAACATGATTCTGAGTTACTGTCACTCATAGTGTGTAGGATAAAAAGTCAAGATTTTGTTTGTCTGTACGGTTTAGACTTGGAACCGGCACCAGCAGACCAGTACCAGACCGACCGATCAGCCGGTTGCCGGTCCGGTACAGCTTTCGATCCAGACCGGCCGGTCTTCACCGGTTTTTACCGGTCTTTTTTAAAGTTTTTTTGGCACTAAAGCTGGCTTGTTTTTCTCGTTTTTAACGATTTTCATGGTGTCAATGGTCAAGAGATATGAATCTGAAAGTTTTCCACTGACAAAATTTCAATCGTATTCGAAATCCCAACTCTAAATAATCACCAACACTTTCTTATTCCACAATCAGAGCTTCATGTCATGTTGAATGAATTTATTATGCTCACGAAAAGTCAGCCAAATTTTACAAGTTGATGTCGGCCTAAATCAAGGATTTCTCATGTTGAAATTTCGGGCTCACTTTTCTGGAGTAATTTTAGCCAACTTTCATAGAATCTGAATAGCCACTAATTCTCCGTTCATGCTTTCATAAGGTAATTTTAAAAAAATCAGTTCTGTTGCCAAGGTCTTTCTAACTATTGGCATCATGCAACCGCGATATTATTTAGATATTAATAAACTTTAAATAGGAATTCTAATGTAAAAGCCATACGTATTGGCTCATCTTATCTTTGTCTCTACAGTAGTGTTCTTTTCGAGGACTGAAATATCTTTCAACTGTGTTAAGTAACTACGTATTTCAAATAAGAATAGACTAAACCTATCAGTTGTAAAAAACTCCTGTCATTATTTGAAAAAATCCAAAGGATAGTCAGCTGTTGTGAGTTTATAGTCAAGATTTTTTGAAAGAAATCTTGGTTCGTCCTTAATATTAGCATACTATACGTGACCGACTAAAATAGGAGTTGTTGCTAATTATAAGACGCTCGAAGAATTATATGAGTTCGATATTGTGTGCGTCTGTGAAACTGAAATGACAGATAGTTTCGCGAAAGAACTGATTGGTAAATTGATACATGCAGCGCAGCAGTTTTTCGCCGGTCAAGTCAAGAATTTGGACCGGCCGATCCGGTCCAAAAAATTCAGACCGGTTCCAAGTCTGATACGGTTATAAAGGTGGTAACAGAAACGTATATTCTATACCAGTATTATCCATGAATGATAGATAAAGGGTGTTCCAGAAGTTCTGAAACGATTTTGAAATTCATCGTTCTCGCATACAATAAAAGCAAACTCTTTGAAACTTCGGCAGATTATTGGACTTATGTAGTACTACATAACTACAAAGTTTGAGGTCTATAGCATGTATTTCTGATGAGAAACTGTAACAACACTACTAAGTACTATTTTTAAAAATTTCCGAGAGCTAAAATTTGACATAAAACCGACAGAAAAATTGTTATTTCACGGGCTTCTTTAATCAATATCTGTCAGAACAAAAACTTTTTCTTCTACCAACATATTTTTCTTACCGTACATATTGATAATAGTGATACAGAATGTTCAATATTTGTCCGTTACGATTGAATCTACACGAAATGTCGCAGGAACAGTCTACTAGCGATGAAAAATGCCGTTAAAGGTGCTTTTGTTAATAGAACTGAACGAATAATTGTTCTGCAAAACTAGTCGAGGTTCGGCCAATACAATGCGTCTGGAATACATTCAAGAAAAAATTACGAAAACGAGAACATAGTAATATTGAACAAGTGAAAAACGACAAAGAAAACCAACGGACCAAATTTAATCTTATACCAATATACCAACGAATGGTAGATATAATTCGAACACGATTGAAACTACTTATTGACCAGGGTAATAAAAGAGCAACAATAAGCTGATTTGTTTGCTTTTATCTTTAAAGGTTGTGTGATTTTTAATATACTAAGGAAATTTTTCAAAATAGTATTTAGTAGTGTTGTTACAGTTTCTCATCAGGAGTACATGCTATAGACCTCAAACTTTGTAGTTATGTAGTACTACATAAGTCCAATAATCTGCCAAAGTTTCAAAGAGTTTGCTTTTATTGTATGCGAGAACGATGAATTTCAAAATCGTTTCAGAACTTCTGGAACACTCTTTATATACTGGGTTTTGCATAACCTTTTGCTAGCGGGGGACAGCTCGAATCCGAAGAGATATAAAAGTGAATTTTATACTAAATGAAAGCCCGTCGAAAACTGAATTCAGAAGTATGACTGGTATTTCACGGGGTACTACATTAAAATTAAGAGTCAATTCATAATTTGATTTTTATAACATCAGCCTTAAGACTGTCTGACAAATATGTAGGATCTACTAATAAGAGAATAACAGTCCAGGTCCAAAAGTTTTGAGAGAATAACAGTCCAGGTCCAAAAATTTTGCATCTGACACGCTCTACCTATTGTTTTTTGTTTTATTTGGATTTTCTTTTATCACAGAGGAAAACTATCGTATACTTTTGTTTACTCCTTCAATTCTTCAGCAACAAGAAAACTTCGTCTTGACAAATTTTCCTGGTTTTTATGAGCGAAACATTATTACCTTTTTTGCTATTGTAAACAAACAAAAACCTAAGGTATAATAGATATCAGAGATATAGAAATATAGAAAAGAAGTAGAGTCAAAAGTGACTGTCTGATCAACGAGCAATATGTGAACAAAGCTATATGAATGAACAAACACTAGAGGGAAAAGAAGAGAACAATGATATGAAGAGTAAATACGTGCAACGGGGTGCATAAACAGTAATAAATATGTCACAAGACGTTGAATATTTATTGTATAAAGGTGAAACTATTTTACTATGTTTTAATGAACAAGACATGATATAAAAACTCTTGTGAAAGTTGCTAAGGAAAACGTAATTTTCCGTTCGGTTTAACTAACTAAATTGAGTGAAATAAACTGGAGCAGAATACTGGAATCCGCAGTCTAATGACGAATTTTTTGATAACTTTTATTAAACTCCACTAAAATCTACTAGAATAAAGTCTGTGCACCAAAGTTTCGAAGCATTTGAAGTTGATTCATTCAAGAAAAAAGCCGACTTTGAAATGCATCAGGATTTCTATGTAAACATAACCCGCAACATAGACTCGTCTAGACAGAATAAATGTTGGATCTGAACGTGTCCGCTTCTTACATACCAGATGTCTTGATACTTCGAAAAATATTCACATAAGCATGATCGTCTTTTTCCATCTCTAATTATCTCGGTATTTTTTTAGCAGCATCTTCTGAGCAAAGTCAATCTGCAATTGTGCATACAACGGTCAACACCACAAATACACTCACACAGCACCAAGAGGCTCAAATACCTAACAAATTTCATAATATGCTGGTACAAATACGCAACTGGCGACAAGACCTTGCAATAAACCATATTTTTTGCCTGGTTTCCGACATTCGACAAGCTGAAAATGATCTACAACTGTCGAAACCGTTGGTTGGTACTACAACCATACTACCAATACTTACCATCGTTTCATTCTGAAAACGTCATCACCAGATTAATCACATCTGCAAGGGAATCATGAACTTGAATATGATATTTTCAGCATCCATCAACACACATTTATTGGGCCAAATATGTTCCATCAATGAGGACACATCGGGCGAAACATCTGTCTTGGTTTATGAGCAATTTTACGATGAAATTGAAAACCGATACCCAAAGAACATTCTCAGACTTATCCGTTACTATAGTTTATCATCAGGTCTCTTTGACTTTCTTGATTCATTAACAGCTGATGATGTTTACAATTTACAAGAAGTGATTTTTTGTGAGTGGGATGAAACATTAGTCAACACACAAACTGTTTCTGATTTTGCTATTGTTAAGAATTTTATTGATCGTGCTTATACTGCTATAAAAATCAAACGTCAAGAACTAAAAGAGACTCCATTCTAACTTGATCATATTGTTGCTTGTTTCACAGATGTATGGAAAAATGATCAATTTATCGATTTACTTAATTGTCTTGAATCATCATCACTTGCACTATCAAGTATTAAACGTATTTATTTAAGATTAACTGATAAAGAACAATCAAAACGACGTCGAATTGCTGATATTTTACAAAAATCTAGTATCTATTTTACTCGTATTGGACATCATCAAATAACATTTGATGTCAATGTAGAACTTCCATCTCAACAAACAATAACAATCAATGATGAACAACAAAACGTAACATTTGCTGATTTAAGTGAACTTCGTGATCGTGCACGTCTTGAACATTCAAGTAATGTTAATAAAAGAAAAATACCACAAGCTGATAGTGAACGTGATAAAGAAAAATTACGAAATTTTACTCGATTTACTAGTATTGTTGAATCTACTATTGGAATTTTAACAAATCTATATACAGCTGGTCATTCATCTATATCAGATAAAAATATTTTCATGTATTGACGGAATATATGATGATTTAGAACAAAAAAACAAAATATTGATTGATTTATTCAGTGATTGGGAGAAGAAATTATGTGATATGTATGAGACACATATTAATTTGACTTATTTCTCGGGTGATCAATTTTGGCAAATAGTAGATTATATCTACTATCGTTCTTCATTTTCTCATCCAGGTTATCATCTTCTTAAATTCATTGATATTGATCCAATGTTTATCGAAAAACTATCAAAAACACTCGAAAAATCAAATAATCGACTAGAAAATCTTGGACGTTTACTTTCTCCACAACAACAAGTATGGATTAACAAATACGAAAATC